GACAGAAGTAGAACAGTTGCGCAGTTATCAACAGTCGAAATAACATCGATGTTTAGCCTGGTGAAAATTTTTTCACGATACATTTATGCATTCTTAAAAAATCATTCAAACATATGTCGATGACGTGTCCGGCAAGATGTACTGACAGATGTGTGATTATTTACTTAATAAATTTAAAGTAAGCTATGAAAACTTTTAATGTAAATAAGTTAAAGAAAATAATTAAGCGGCAGAACTATTGAGGAGTTTCGCAACGCTTCACATAATGCTCGATAAGATTATTGCGAAACAACTTCAAAAAATTGCAAAAGGAACTACAAGTTTTCTGAATTCAAAGACAGGATACCAACCAATTTAGTTAAAACTCTAAAATTTGTATATTTCCAAGAATTTTAGTCATTTATAAGCAACTTTAGTTTCAATAAGCAAGCATTGGACAGTGCCTATTTATATTCTGCGCTAAAGAGTTGTTCTTGTTTCTTGATGAAATTACAAATGAACCTATCAAAATCCGGTTTTCATCAGTAGCGGTAAATGAAAATTTTGCACATTATTACAACAGCAGAAAATTTCTGAACTGAAGTTTATCAACATTCACTTGATTTAAAATAAAACTAACATCACTTTCGATGGGCTTAGATCAATTGTTCAATGAAATTCTGCAGATTGCAGATCAGAAAGTTGGAACACCGAGCGTTGAAACCCGAACCTGAACATCAAATTTCTAGAATAAGCTAGATTCTCGAGGTTAAAGAATTCTATTGTAAGTCAGTACATTAAATATAATCTTCACTAAACATAATCTTCACCTAATTTATATTTATATTTTCATCCTTTGCAAAGTAGCAAATCAAAATTACTGTAGTTTAATAAATCAGTAATATTAGCAGTCAGGGGAGAAATTTCAGTTAACAATACCTGCGAACTAACAAAGCATTTGTATCTCTGCTTAGCTGCCAAAATCTAAGCTTGCAAACAAAAAAAAAACTTTTATAACTAATTGTCGCTTTATTATTTTTTAAATTTGAATTTAAAAAACAGTATCAATCAATCAGTTATTTTGTTGTTTAGGACTTGTTCACTCAAACGATAGACAGCAGTAAATTTTGCGAGAAATTTTTGTAATTTCGTCAATTCAGAAGCTGTAGAAATATGAAAGATGAAAATTTGAAGCAATTTCCTGTTCGTTGTTCGATGAAAGCAGTAAAGCGGAAATTTTATAGTTCACGAATTACTGCAAACAAGAATTTTTTCTCAATTTTATTCGATATCCGGTTTGAAAATGTTATGAAAGAAAGTAAATCAAAATAATCCATTACCTTTTTTGCCACTATCTCTCTTAAATTTTTTTTTCTTTGTTTTACTATAACATAGCTCCAAGGACCGGAACGGATTACGCTTTGCGAAGCTCCGCTGCGTAACAATGATTTATGTTTTGTTCTGGCATGGAACTGATTTCTTTGTTGGTATGAAAATAATGGCATCTTATAGATGCCGGAATACAATCTTTCAAGCTCTTACCTTCACTAATTTCCAGTTTTTTGATAGTTGTATGAAGGATAAGAAATGAAATTACTATCTATCATTACGACTGGAAATGTATATCTTAGGCTAATTTATCTTGTTAAAAGATGATACTTTGCCTGGAAGCGGGCTTCTGTTTCTTCCAAACTGTTAACGAGTAAAAATTATGAAATGCTTCATTGATTTGAGAAGTTTTCAAATGTTACAGTATACAGAAAATAGCAGAAAATGTGCATTATACATTGCTGATAGGTGGTTTATATAATCTTCGAGGATTAGTAATCATTCTAATTATGTCCAGGAATTTTAGAAACCACACCACCCTACAATATTGGTATCACTGATGGCAATTGATGATGACGATGACTTTGTTGTTGATGATATGATGTGGGTTGCAAAAATATCAGCGCCTTTGAGTTTAACACCTTTTCTAAACCTGTTTTTGAGAACATGTCAAATGAAACATCATTCGCGAACTTGTCCCACTTTTTTGTTTCCTGACCAAGTGACAAAAATCTTTGTAGTTCATCTCAAAGGTCATCCTAAACTTCTAGTCCACTTCTCAACCGTAATGAACTGCCGTTAATTTAAACACAAAAGACTATATCATGGAAATGTTGTTTAAAATGCCGCGAGCATTTTTCCGGTTTTCAAAAAGAAGTTTTCTTTTTCTTCACCATACGACTCTGCAAATCTAATTGTAATTCTTGAGAATCCCTTCTTCCATTCTCTTGACCAATGTGAGCAACAATTTTCTAATCTGTCGCAAATTTTACTTCTGTATTATCTTTCAATTCTTCAATTCTACCTCCCACATCCATAATCCTCTTCATTCATTTCCACTTTCTTTTCGAATAAAACACTTCTTGCAAAGGCTTTATATAATATGATTGTGTCTTTTTCAGAATTACTTAAAATTGCCCAAATTCTTGTTTTCAGTGCACTTTTAATTTGATGGATGAATAAAATGAGTGAAAGCTATATGATTGCATTTAATTAATTTTACGTTGCACGCATTGGCTTAGCTTATATTGACGATAAAGTTTGCACGTTTTTACTAAGTGCTATAGTTGCTGTCATCACAATTATCATTGCAAATGCATCGTCGAGATTATCGATTCATGTTCATTTCAGTTGAAAATATATTAATACCTCTCGAATTCCGAGAAACCCAAAATTCCTTTTGATTAAAATTTTAAAGATAGATATCTCAAAGCAATTTTAGATAGCTCATTTGCACATTCACTGGAACCACTTGAAAAGTGAATTGATTCTTACGTTTAGGATTTATATAAAATAAGAAAATTTCCAAGAGATTATTTTTGAAGCGAAGACGAATATAATTGTAACGGATTACTTAAAGTAAATTCCATGTATTAATAAACAAAAGCAATTTAGAAATTCATCAGTATGCTCAATTTCTGTATCCTATCAGAAGAGGCAGTTTACTTAGATAGCAGTGATATTTTAGATCACAAGACATTTAATAGTCTGATGCAAACTTTGACCAGGAAAATGGGCAGGAGCAATTAAAAGTAGTACGCGGATTACTCTAGAAAAAAATCCAGTTCTTCTATAATATTTCCATAACATTGATCAAAATAGTTATAATTTAAGTATGACGTTCATATCTTTCTCTTCATCAATGTATTAAGTTCGAAACATAAATTTCAACTTGCCATTTTCCTGTTTTGCTTTAAATACAGTATTAGAGATGAGTGGAAGAGAAATCATTTAATGAAATTTAAACATTTCCGATCTCCCTCACCGATCTAGACGTGGTGGAGAAGCTTCTCACTTATGATATCAATTTTGACAGGAGATGAATAGATATTTTTCGTTCATAGAATAACAGAGTAACGAACGCCCTTTTCCTCCCGTTCTTCTCGTATCACTTTTTCAATAAATTATCGAAAAAAACTTGAATTCTTTAAATGTCTCCACTTTATCTCATACTTTTACCAGTTCCTTGTGAGCACCAACTGTTACCTCTTCTCCGTCAAATAATATTAATAGCGCTTCATATTAGTGTCATCATCACCATGTGCTCTACTGTTTAGTTTAAACGTTTCTGAAATTTAAATTCTTATAGATTTTATGACTTTCAAAAATTTCTACCAATCACTTATTTTTTAGATTATTGATCGAACGTAAATTTTTTCTTTACCCTTTGTTTTCCTCATTTTGGTTGCTATGTAAATTTGACATCTGCTTCAAGCTGTTAAATCTATCTTCGAGTCACACTTTCTTAAATATCCTCAAACATCTCATATAATATCGCTAAAAGTATGCCGTTCAATATACTGGAATACTATTGTGGATAGCATTTCCGTGAGAATACAAACGGAAAATCATAGTGTTTTAAAACGCCTTATACTTCTGATATGATTGCTTATTTCTTCTTTCAAATTCTAAAACGTTGCACACAAATTCTTGACATAAATTTTACAGATTATGATGTCAAAATTTCAAAGTCCCCTGAAATCTTATATTTTTCTTTCTTTCTTTCGATAGTCAGCCAACTAATATTGTCAGCTTTCCGATGAAATAATTTGTAACATATCACTACAGAGTCATCCATTTAGAGTAATAATCAAAGTAAAATTCAGAACGTCTTGAAGCGTATGCATTTCTGTTAGTCATTCTTTTCCAGAATTTTGCTTACCAAACTATTGTCCTGCAAATTCACGGAAGTAAAATTGCAAAAAAGCAAAAGCAACTCTTATTCAAACTTTCTTTTGGACGATATCAAATAGATATCGTAACAGTTAAGTGAACAGCTGATTTATAAACTTTCTGTTCACTTCTCTCAGTTAGCACAATCATTACTTTCCAAAATACCGTAATATACAGCTAGCCATACCGACTAATCGATATGGCCAAAATATCAATTAGGAATATTCTTTCCGTCCAATTTGAACTCACTAATTTTTACTCAATAATTTTTTCCTTATAGTCAAAAGGAACTCTCTAAAGTGAGTTAAATAGACACTTAAAAAGTTAAACAGTTCAAAAGTCAAATTCGTATTTTCCACTTTTGAGCCAAAAATAAAAGATGAGTTTTTCTTTCATATAAAATTTGAATTCCCTCAAGGATAGTGAAAGATTATTGAAAAATATACTTCCAATATTCATTTGTATGGAAGTATATTTTTCTTCTTAATTTTAAATTGCCAGTAAAAGTTAGGCTTCAATTAAAGACCTCAAAATCAGCAACGCATCATTAATACTCTTATCATTAACTCTAACTTCCGAATTTAATCGGCATCTCCATATAGTTTTAGTAAAAAAGTGACTGGTTTTCTCAAATAAAGGAACCGAAAATAGGTGAGGTAATTTAAAAAGTTTTTTTGACTGCTGTCATTTTTAATGCTAATGCTACCAAAGTAAGCAACAGCTACCATTTCCTTACTTACACTTTGTTCTCCATAACATCCTTTCTTTATATACTACAAACGAAATGCTGCAGAAGGTGTATGTTACAATTACTGCTATTGTTCCATTTATTGTTATGGTACAGTGCAGTTGGACATGTGGCGTTGACATTCCCCTTAGTACGATTTCCACCACTCGATTTCTTGGATTCAGCCCGAACAATTAGTCCGTGTGGCGTACCTAAACCTCATAATCGTTAGTAATTTCTTGCTTATCAATAGTATAATATCATTATCATTAATATCAGCAACGTCTTTATCATCAGTAGTATTATTATTTACTCGTCTTCAAGACTCATCCACTGGTAATGATCTTATTGTGATCTTATTTTAATTTCTGGTCAAATCTTGTTTTTGGCTTAATTATCTAGAGCAGTAGAAATTTTAAAACATTTTGATTTAAATTCAGCCATTATTTTTTCAAGTGACTAATTTCAACATTTAATTCTTTATGGACTTCTTTATATATTTTTAGTAAATTCAAACTTTAATATCATTTATTACAATCAATTTAAGCGCATTATACTCAATTATACGTTGGTGAATCATACAATTTTACATGGCGACTACAATATCCGCATCAGGTTAATTTATTATATTATGGTTGTTATGAAAATTGACAAATGGTCATTGAAATTTGCAAATTTTTCAAATTTTTTTTGAAAAATGCAAAAATTTGTATTGCAGGGTGGATATCGCTTATCTGTGATAAATGAAACTGGAGATATTGTGGAACAATTAGCGCCCGTAAAAGGTAGCAACTACGTTGGCATCGATGATCAAACGTTCGTTTTCCTCTTTTAAATACTATTTATTTTATCAAATTTCGTATTCAGCAAACAGATAATTAAATTTGCAAGAATTTGTAAACCGGTTAATCTGTTCTTCAAATTTCATTAAATTTCAATGATGGATTTGGGCAAAAAAAAATTGTACTTTTCTTCATTTCTTAAATTTCAACTATGATGAAATCTATTTTGAACTGTAAATTAATTTTTACATTTTCTAATTTTCTTTGAAATTGGTAAAATCGTGGAAAATGAGAACATTCAGTAAAGATCGATTAGAGGTGGCATTGAAAAAGCGGATCTGTGGGAAGAAAGTATGATAAAGTGGAAATTTGAGGACTTATTTTCCCTCGAGCAATAACATCATCAAAATAAGAGCAAATTCAAGATAAGAGCAAATATTTTAGTGTGAACAGTATCAATTTATGACAACAAAAAGAGAAGTGAAGCGAGCGAAATGTGCTTCTCGTGCTTTTAGGTTACAATATGCGACAGTTCATCCTACACGTCCTTGTGCACCGTGCACAGTTTTGCTTGAACGTCAAGCCTTAGAGTGGGGCCAAGCATATGGATTCCGATCCTGTGCCGATGTAAACATTGTCCAAAAAGTTCAAGAAGATGATGAAAGATGTTCAAAACATGGTGATTATGAGAATGGCAAGTGCAAATGTCGCCATTCGTATTCAGGGGAATTGTGTCAATACAAAGGTAAATATTAATTGGTTAGCAAGAACGGCAAATCACCCAGAGACTTTTAATCAAAATTCGAGTTTCTTAACAACATAACTGAAAGGAAGGTTTTTATTTAAAAAATTTCATTTCTTCTAATAAATTTTCCATAGAATACTTTTATTGGAAAATTTATTTCATTCTTTAGTGATTGCTGTGAATTTCAATATATAATAATTCCTGTTATTTTTACACAAAAGAGAGAAGTATTACTCTGAATAACATCCGATTTTATTTTGAATTTGCGATTGCAACCTGTAATTAAGCATAACAATAAGATAATCCTAATATTTGACAGTTTACATATGAATCTCAAAACAGTTCCACAGATGTGCAATCAATTAGAACATCATCTTTTTTCTCAGCATTTTAAACTTGTTTTGTAATTCTCGTACTATATATCAAAATTGACATTATCAAGGAAGGTTTAGGCTTATCAATTGATGATATAGGCTTTTCTCTGATCTGACTGATCATTTTTTATCTTAAATTATTATAAATGTTGTACTTTGAGAAAGTAATGTCACTCATTTTAATAAAAAAGAACTTGATTTTCTTTGGACTTCAAAATCCTATTTTTATTTCTTTTTCTCGTTTTCAAAACTCGAAACAAAGAAGGAATAGAAAAGTTTTTTATTTTTTCTTTTCATTTTCTTCTTTTATTGAAGGAATTTTGAACTGCGAAAGCTAGAAAATTCACGAAAATATTGCCGAGAACACTGCATCATCTTGCATGATTGAGATTTTCTCTTAAACAAAGAATCTCAGATATTATATAATAATTAAATTGAAATAATAACAAACTGACTGGTAAGATAGGTAGGTGTTGAGTGTAATTTCAATCAGTTGGTATTGATCAATTCAAAATCAATGAAATTCAAATAGGGAGATCAAGAAGAGGACGGATAAATAACCGTTAATTAAATTTTGAAATTTATATCGGAAATTTCAAACTTCTTGTCAGTTTATTGAATTTATTTGGGAAACTGGAAACTTTCAGACTATTGCTCAACCGACGAAGATTGCTTGAATGATGGCAAGTGTGTTAAAGAACCAAATGCCATGATAAGAAGGACGTGTTATTGCGCTTTCGGCTACTTTGGACAAAACTGTGATCGAAGTTCGTTTATTCATCGTAAATTAACTGTCGGCGTGAAGAATTAAAAGTTCAAGCGAAGAAATAACAGTCATTTCAATACTTCATTTGCATAAAATAAAGTTTTCATTGGAATATTGCCAGAATATTATTTTTCGTAGCATTTACTTACCACATAGTAAAGGTGGCAGAGAACTAAATGATGTGTTATGGGAAAGCGAAGAAGCGGAGAAGAAAGTGCAATTCTCGGGCGGGATACCGTGATTCCAAACAACTGGTTATTTGATTTTAATTTCTTCAACTAATATTTTCAGCATTTGACGCCAAACCTGAAAGCGACAAATGTTTCAATTATAACTATCCAAAAGATGAAAATAAATACAATAAGTATGGTCTTTTTGGAGAAGAATGCTTCAAAAAAACTGTGCTGAATGAGAATGATTTTGTTTATTCACGAGTTGTTCGAGTAAGTTCAATTGGATAATCGTTAATGAGAAGTTGGGAAGGACTGAGGAGTTTGAAGGGTGGTTTGATTGAACTCAATAAATAATTCTCCCTCGGTATCTTTCGACGAATTATGACAATTTAAGGATGAACTGGAGATAATTTTGGATTATAAGAGTATGTCATGGATTTCAATCGGTTGGCGGCCCATGGAAATCGATCGTTCGTGTCGATTATTTCCTGATTTGGAGAATACTCGATATAAACGAAATACCAGGTGGACACCGATTTCACATTCGACGACCCAAATGAATGAATCTAAATATCGGGATCCGATCGATGCAAACCTGATGTCAATACCAATGCCTAAACTACCTAAAAATAACGGATTGTGTAAGTTTGATTGTTCACACATACACTCAGTCGTTATTTACTTCTAAATTTTTGTTGCTTTCTTTTGAACTTCAAATTATCCCTAAGGGAATATTTCTTCAAATGTAAATTTGTTTGAATCTATTGAAGTTTATTTTCTGATGTTATGTGTTCCAGTGAGAACGGCACTTCTGGCATCTCTTCATCCCATGGATTGTACAGATATTGTGATCGGTTCGGTACGGGATGGCCGATCGAGAATCAACGACATGTACACCAGAGATCGCTCTACACCACTTCATGATATATGGTTGGCACTTATTATTAGGAATGCAAAATATTCCTATAATAAATCTAACTGCTCATTAATTATGGCGGAATTAAATCCTTTCAGGCTTGATGGTGAAGAATCGTTTTCTGCGGCTTACGGTATAGAACGTGATGGTCGAACGATAATCATGTTCAGAAGACGAATTGCTGGTAAAAACTTTGTTTTACATAATAATTTTTTTAAACTTTAATTTTCTGTGGAAATGAGCAATATTGTAATTATTTCTTACGGCAAGCTGTCTGATAAAACTAATTGATGGTTATATGGGAACTCGAGCTTGAATAACTGTAACAAGCTTGACTGGCATACAATGAAATGTTAGCAGAGTTAAGTTGTATTGATAGCTTTTTGGAGCCTTATAAGAAATCGATACCTTGTAAGCAGTACAAAGAATTTGGTGGTCAAAATGAAGTAAAGACTGAAGCGATGCAGAGTTTCAGAATAATTTATTCAAGAAAGTTTATGTACTCCATTATTTTTTAAATTGTCAAAAGCCATTTGCAAGTAATCGTCGAAAATAATTATTTTGCAACATTTTCCATTTTAGAGATAGAACCATCGGATCATCCACTTGGACCAGGTGAAATTTTTGTCATCTATGCAAAGGGACAAGTAATGGGGTCTTATTCTCATGCCGTCAAATCAGCACTTGATCAAGGTCCGGTGAGCGATCACAATTTCTACAGACAAGACGAGATGAAATATCACGGAAGTACGTCTTTTTTACTCTCCATTATAAGGTTATGCTGCTTATAGTTGCTGTTCGAAAAACACATTTTGATTTTTTAGACAGAAATCGTGGAGTACATCCAATCGAATTTGTCAGCATTAATGAACGGCCACCGAGTATTCGACCTCCACCACAGTTTCCGCAGTCACATCCATCATCTGTACAACATCCATTTTCTGAGATGCACGATCTTTCTACACATTCTGCAGAAATTTCACCTATTTCGCTGTCAACAACAATGAAAAGTGAAACAGCGTCATCTTTTACTGTTGCTTTGCGAAGACCATCTGTAACGAAACCTAATTTGAGATCTAAAGCGACAATCAAGAACAAGCAATCAATGCAATCGACGCCAAAACCTGAACCTGAACCAAAACTAAATTCTCGAGAAATCGATTACTTATATTTTGACAATGGATCACTAACATTAAGTCAGTTTCGATTAGTGTACTTCTCTTCTTTTCTCTTTCTGCTTCGTTCATGCTATTATTTGTAAATTCATAATATTTAGTAATAATAACTATATTATTACTTTGCTATTGTATTGTTGTTATAGGTTACATTACTTGCATTTTATACATACCAATTTTCGATCTGCGCTTCATAAGTGCAAATGGAAAAAAAGGAAAGGTACATTAGAAACATTAGAAAAAGTATCATTTTTTCAATTTCACAGCTTTTGAACAGTAAATAAAACATCTAATCAAATACTTCCCTTATATAATAACTTTCGCATGTTTTCGAAGAACTGATGTTTTCATCCAGACCAAAATTGTTCAATTACTATTTTAGTTTACTCTTTAACTTAAATGATGTTATTTGTTTTATTCTACAATAATCATTTGTTTACTAGAATTCCTAATAAATAAGCTATTAGGAGTTATCTAAAGTATGAATTATCTAAAAATAAGTTCAGAAATGAAGAAGTTATAAGCGAATTACAAGGAAAGAAAAATGAAAAGTTGTTAATATGATTGAAAAATGAGATATTGAAGAGTTTGTCATCACAGTGAAATGGAAATATTTATAAATTTAAAAATCATTTGGGTCCACTCAATTAGATTTCGCTCCTTCGTTTATGACGATTTTTAATAATTATTTCATAAGGTTTATAAAGAAAGTGGCTGGTGAAAAGGAATTGTTTTAAAAAGATAGTCGTACGATAAACAAGCTTTAAGAACCTTTTCCATGCATGACAGAGAGCGACATTTTGATCAATCATTATTTAAAAAATTAAAATTTCATATTGTGAGTTCGAGAATGATGATTTAAAATTTCTTTTAACCCATCTTTAGTTAATGTACCGAGAGATTGGTGTCAGTAACATATCGGAGAGGTTAGGTCGAAATCCACTTGTCTCATTTTCAGTTTTCTCTTCTGAATTTTTTATTTTGTCTCTCTTGGTTTGATGTGTCGCTGAGAGAACGCCACAGAGAGTGAGTCATAACAGCCAACTATCTCACATCGATTTCAATGATAGTCGATAATTACATCACTCTTGCCGCTAGCCGTGTTTTTCCCCTGCTTCAGATTCAGAATCTCCTCTCGTCAAAACGGAGCAAGCGCTTCCTTGAAATGAGTCTCGCTGGCTGCTTTTATCTCGCACTGCTTTTCTCCCTTTTTGTCTAAGCTTCAACACTTAATAGAGGTTCTTTCAAGTAAAATCAGTTGAATTAATGTTTCAAATATTTATCTTATTGATGGATGCTTGCAGATAGTCATTTTTTTGTAGATAGAATTGAAAGAAATGTTTAACTTTCGGATAAGCAGGTGCAAATGTCATTTATGGCAGTTCGCGTCTAAAATGTCGAAAATTGAGTCTGCTAAATCTATGACTTAATTATGCCAAAATTGATTCATGGAAAAGTTTCAGCACTCTGTAAGTGGAATACTTCAGTTTTGATTATTGATAGATCCAAGCCCTGCCATAACTCGAATATACCAATACTCAATGGCAATATAGATTTGCATGCGAGAGTATTTAACGGAAATAATTATGTATGCGAAGGAAATGTAAGCGGAATGAAATTTATTTCATTTAATCATGCTTGGATTATTGCTCCTCGACCCAAATAAGATGACAGTGTAGCACCAATGATGGTATCGTTAAGTGCTCGAAAAATTTTTGTTACAAACCTTTTGCTGTAATCCAACCTAATCCATCATCTTAATTCATTTATCTGTCCAGTTATAATTGATAAAAGCAAGAAGGAGTGACATTCTTCTAAAATGAAGATTCAATCCTGCCGAAAGAATAGATGTAAAATTTAAAGTTTTTTTCATTCTCTAAGTCTGTCCCATTCATCTGTTTTGATGAAAACGACAGAGAAGAAGAGAATGAAAATGACAATTGTCTGACGGGCCTTTCGTCGAGCGTGACGCTATCATTCAATAAAGGAAGTTTTCTTCCTATCCACCCCTCCATCCAGGCGTTCTCAGCGCTCTATATTTACACTTTTATTTGCGAGCAAATACTTCCAAAAACTCATTTTGCATATTCATTAAGTCACCTTTTTAATTCCAACCGCTCAACGTTATTCCAATAAAAGATTCATTGTCACATGTCGTTTTTAGCGTGGATATATTCAGCAAATATTAAATTATGATACATTTAAACGGAGCAGTGTTTATTACAGGATTAGATTAGCTAATATTCTATAAAACATACATTACCTGTGTCTAAAGATGCGATGAAATGAAATATTTATTATTAGCTTTAAACTGGTAGGTGAGGAAGGTCTTCTTCAAGCACACAGACATCGAGAACAACCTTATTGGCAATATGAGCTGCGGAAAAGTAGGTTCTTCCTATTACCTAGCTATTATCTCCCTCTCTAGTCAGTCTTCTCTGCTCACAGTAAAAAGAAAACAAATTTTTCAGTAAACAATGAAATGTAGATCAGCTGAACTCTTTTGTATTCGGACCCACAAAACAAACTTTCCTTCTTCGAAAATCGATTTATAATGTTATTATCATTTTTCGAAGCCAGTACTCCATGGTGTCGTTTATATTTGACACTTCACTCGTTTATTGTATCTCGCTTGCTTAGTCATACGGCAAAAATAGTTTGTTAAAACTTCAATTGATTCGATCAATTGATAATTGTCCATTTTCGGGAAGGGGACATAATTACCGCTTACAATTCAATTTTCTTGTTTCTATACAAGACTCACGATCATATCGATCAATCAGGGAAAGATCCCTGTTTATATGTGGAGAAGTTATAAGTTCGCCTCAAATACCAAGCATCTGAGGTAAACTGAAAAGTTTAATCGAAGCTCACTTTACCCATTATAGTCGAAGGATGCTTCCAATTTCAATATTATCAAATTAAATCCTTTTTATAATTCTAAAATCAAATTTATTATTGCACCATTTTCCAGCTAAAATATACCATTCCATTTGTCCTTCCAGTCTGTTCTCTGCGAGTCAATCAATTTTGCTGAATTTTATCGTTTTTCCCTTTGCTTCTTACCAGAAAAAAACATTCGTTATACCTGCGCAATTAGTAATCATTCAATGATTTTTCACTTGCAAAATTCGCTGACAAAGTTTTACCATGTAAATGGACTAACAACTAATGGGTGAAAGAGTATGCTTTCAGTACTTTCTTTTGACGAAATTTTTCCTCTCGACAGACAGATCTAACAATTATCCTTCAAACGAGTTTAAGACTTAGCGCAAAAATGCTTTTTCCTTCAAAAATTGAATCCGCAAATGTTATCGCATTCTAATTCCTTTCATTCTCTTCATTTGTTTGGTATTTTTCTCTTCGACGACATATCGAATAGAAATTCGCAAATATTATCAATTTGTTCATTTATCATCAACAAACTTTTACTCCGTTATGCAAAAAATTCTTCATTTCAAAGATTGTTAACTCATATCAAAAGCACTGTACAATACAGTATAATATGGTATAGTGCTTTGTGAGAACAGTTGGACTTAAGCAATACCGACAAGTAAGAAAGAACGTGTGGTATGATAGAATTTTGAGATTAACATACATTTATCTATATATATATATAACAGATCGAGTGATGATTAAGACTAAAATTTAAAGTGAAACAGCGTACGTAAGTAAGAATGAATATACGAATCATTTCATGCTTGTCTCTAGAAATAACCACTTTCATCGGGCATTCTAATTTAGATAAGTGCCAGTATGAAGTTGGATATAAAATGAATAATTATTCAGGAAAAGTGTTTAAGATAGCGCGGTGCAGCATTCATCCACTAATTTCCTCGAAGCCATCGAACATGGCAAATTTCCGTTTTATAATTTACATTTTAAAAATTATACGTCTTTCTTATCTTTATGCTGACGTTTCCATCGTTAAATTTATATCCAATCACTCTTTCATAAACAGTACTGAGCAACATTTGAAACATTAACATCACCAACTTGAAATGAGCAATTTTAAAGTTAAAAGCAACTAAATTTCTGCTTCAGAAATATATTTAAACAAATGATTCTATCACTTCCAATATTTCCCGTTATTTTTATTATTATTGAGAAAATTTTTTCAAAAAAGTGCATTTATCAAAATTCGGTAGTAAATGTTTGTCTATTAACCTCGCCGATTCCCTTTTTTTGCATTTATTGTTTCAAACAACCGAATTCTGCACTTTTATTTCAGGATTTGATGCCTCACGACACCCAATGTATTTGTCAAATATGCATTTGCGGGTAACCCTCAAAATTTCTAAATTGATTTTTCCCATTTATAATTAATTATAATTTTGTTTCGAGACTTTCATATCCATATTGAGATTTTGTTTCAGAAGACATCACTGCCCGAACGACCGAAATGCGAGCTCAATTTGTATCGGAACCTCAAATCAAAATATTTTTTATAAAAAGGCAAATTCATTGTCTAAATTTTTTTCGAACAAGCTAATGCCAACGAAATAATAGTGTGCGAAAAAGTTTTTTATTTATTCGGACAAAGACCAGTTCGTAACTAGCGATCTTTTTTAAGAATGAATAGTCCAGAACCATGCAGTAGCCAGTAGTGATAATCACCATTAGTAATCAGAAGATTCGGAAAATCTTCCATCCATGTCGATGGTGTATGCGTAATTAATAATTGTTTTTACGTAAATTTGCTAAATGAAGAGAAGAAAGAATTTCTTTATTACTTTTATAATGCGATTTTTATTTATCACGAAAAATTCACTCATTAATTGTAGAAAATTTTGAAAATTTCAATTTGTTAGGGTCGTAAAAATTGTCGATTTCAATAGTCTTCAACTTTTAGAAAATAAAATGCTTTTGAGAAACATCTTTTAGAGTATTATAAATGAAAGACAAAACGCACAAAAGGGAACATTTGCTGAAAATGAAAACGCGAATGTGACACATCTTCAAACAGGTGCAAAAGATAACGCTATGAATGTACATGTTTTGCGACGTCGCAATTGTGAATCCTCGGTTAGACATTACTTAAACTGGGCGAAGAAAATCGTTATACATGTTTGCGTTCATGCGCAGAAATCCTTAGAGTACAGAGCCATAAAGGTTGCTTGTTTATCTTATTTTTTTTGCTTGAAACAGAAATAAGTGAAAGGTCGCTCATGCAGCAAAAGGAGTGAATGGAATAAGCCCACGCAATAATTCAGTGAAACAATTGCAAGTACTTCTTTTATGCAATTTATCATTTAGCATGATTAAATCAATTTTGAAAGCATTTGTTTTCATTTTGAATTATCCGTTTTTAATTCGGAATGATAAATTGCGCAAAAAATAGATAATGATTTTTCACTTTGTTCACTGATCTTTTTACATTTTTCGCTATATAACGCTAACTTTTTTAAAATATTTTCTAAAATTGTAAGATAAAGTCTAACTCGATCTATCTTGAAATTCCATTTAATTTAAATAGCAGAATAATTTTTAGATTGTTTTCGGAAATGAAGATGACAACAATCATCTAAATCCAAAACGAAACAGGGGAAATATCATTGCTTGTAAGGAATTAGAAAATTAATAAATGGCACTGAAATATATTTCTGAATTTTCTTTTTATATATGAGAAAGTTTAAAATTTATGCTTTCGACAGTATGCATTAAAGCATTCAGCTAAACTAATTACTGGTTGTTTTTATGATTGAAATAATTTTATTTAGCATTACGTTGCAATTATAGTTCGAAAGGCTTCACATCGACACTCCAGGGAGTATGAGGATGCTTTTAACGGTGACAATAAACACACAATTAAAGCTGGACGACGACGAAGAGATCGTTCTGCTGAAACAAATGATAATGTCGGCTTGATTTTGCAATCTATCGAGGTAAGCAGCCTAATTTTTGCTTAAATATCGAGAAGGAAAGTCT